TCTTTGGTTCATCAGGAACGGATCTTCTAACTTCACCTCAGGTTCTGATATGGATTAAAAACACGCCTGTTTTTCCTCCTCACATGAAGACCCCACGCTGAGAGATACTTCAAAAACACAACTTGTTTTGATTCTGATCCCCCAGTCACTGACCTGGTTCACTCCGAAATGCTCTCTGATTGGCTCCGCTGTCTCCCTGCTCTCATCCACATCATCTGATTGGCTGCCTCTCAGTATGTAAACAGGCAGACAGGCCACGCCCCCTCATTAATTATTCGTTAACCTGCCAGACACCACTGAGGGTAAAATTCATTATTAATGAGCGCCTGATGGCTGACCTGGCTCTGAATTAAACATGAAAAAAACAGCAGTCTGGTGAGCGCGCTCTCAAACACCCTCTGACCTCACTGACGATGTCACACCCCCCCTCCCCCCTTATCCCAAAATCACAATTTGATGTTTGTTTATAAAGCTATAAAAAAACATTAAATACAATCACATCAGAGGAAAATAAGATAAACCAGGTGTTCCTCACCTATATCCAGATTTCTCCTCCCATTTACAGATGTTACCTAACCCGTCTCCAGGTGTTTACTCACCTGTCTCCAGCTGTGCTACCTAACCCGTCTCCAGCTGTGCTACCTAACCCATCTCCAGGTGTTTGCTCACCTGTCTCCAGGTGTTTACTCACCCGTCTCCAGCTGTGCTACCTAACCCATCTCCAGGTGTTTGCTCACCTGTCTCCAGGTGTTTACTCACCCGTCTCCAGCTGTGCTACCTAACCCATCTCCAGGTGTTTGCTCACCTGTCTCCAGGTGTGCTACCTTTGACACGGACACACTCAAGTTCTCTTCAGAGTCTTTTATTGATTTCTGTTCAGCTGCTAACATATTTCATAATTACAAAGATTCTTTAACTGGTGATTCTGGAAGAAACAAAGCAGTAGTGTTCAGGTGTGCACCCCCCCCCCCCCCCCCCTCACCTGGGCAGGGTCATGGGATAAAACAGGAAATATCATCACTGACACAAAATCAAAGATTTTTTTTCTCCTACAACAACAACAACAACAACGATGATGATGATGATGTGCAACTTTAAGAAAACTTTAAAATAATTCATACAGTGTTTTTCCATCAGAGTGAGACCTCCTGTCTGTCAGGAAGGTAGCCACAGTTAGCTTAGCAGCTAACAGCACGCTAAAGCTTAACAGAGTCAGTTAAAAAGAAGGAGGAGTTGATTGGTCCCTTAGCCAATCAGACTTAAGTCAAACACACAGCAGCCATCAGCAGGGGTGGGGTTTAAACCAGGGGGCGTGGCTTCCCAGCAGGTAAAATCCAACAAATATAAAAGCAGCAGGAAGCACAAACTCACCCGCAACAATAAAATTATCAAGTAAAATCTAAACTCTCAGTCTGCAGCCTGATTGGTTATTTAAGCCCCTCCTCCTTGCTTAGCTGTATACAGGGCGGAGCCTCTTAAATGGGGGTGGGCATCAGGGGTCCATTTCCAGACCGTCGAGGGTGAGTTGACTGCGATGGGGGAGTTTGGACTGGGGGGGCTGCTGGGGTTAGAACTGTTGGAGGGGGTTGAGTGTTTGGTCGAGTCCGAGTCCGGCTGGGCGAGAGACATCAACACAAAGAGAGAGAGAGAGTTACAGGTTGTTTTTGTCATCTTCAGATATTAAATAAAGGTTTTTAAACTGAAGTTAATACAACAACAAACACATCATTGTGTGTGTGTGTGTGTGTGTGTGTGTGTGTGTGTGTGTGTGTGTGTGTGTGTGTGTGTGTGTGTGTGTGTGTGTGTGTGTGTTTTACCTCTCGGTCCAGGTCCTGGTCTGGATCAGAAATACTGCGAGAAGAAGCTCCTCCTCCAAAATCTGAACCAATGAGAACAGATTAGGCATGAAATCACACATTGACACAAGCTGCCACGCTTTACAAAGAAACACACAAACCTGTTAAATATGTGTGTGTGTGCGTACCTGAGGCTGTTCGAGTGATGTGTGACTTGCTTCTCTGTTGCCGGGAGATACTGGACAGTGGCGGGGCTTGTCTTTGATGGAGTCCTCCTGGGAGGAATGCATCACACTCTACACACACACACACACACACACACACACACACACACACACACACACACACACACACACCACACACACACACACACACACACACACACACACACACACACACACACACACACACACACACACACACACACACACACACACACACACCACACACACACACACACACACACACACACACACACACACACACACACACACACACACACACACACACAGAAGAGTGGAGGAGTGAATGGTGTGGGTTTGGCACCCCCCAGTGGTCATGTTCAGCACCTGCTCTCAGTGTTTCTGTGAGACAAACTCAACATGTTCACACAAACATTAAAGGACTTTAATAACACATAACGTCGAACTACAGCTCCCAGAAGACTTTCACAGAGCTTCATAGGCAAGGACTCATGGGAAATGTAGTGGAACTGTGTCACACAGAAGGTGGGACTTCAGAGAACAGGTAAAGTTCAGCACATTGAAAAGAAGACAGAGGAAGAGAAAGAGAGGTGAAGAAATGAAGCTGTTTTTTTTACCTGAACTCCAGCTTAGTCTTAAAACACCTTAACATGAACACCTTGGATTGATTTAAAGTTGTGTAATATATCTACAGGTGTGTTGTATATCTACAGGTGTATCTACAGGTGTGTTGTATGTCTACAGGTGTGTTATATAGCTACAGGTGTATCTACAGGTATGTAATATATCTACAGGTGTGTTGTATATCTACAGGTGTATCTACAGGTGTGTAATATGTCTACAGGTGTGTTGTATATCTACAGGTGTGTTGTATATCTACAGGTGTGTAATATGTCTACAGGTGTGTTGTATATCTACAGGTGTGTTGTATATCTACAGGTGTGTAATATGTCTACAGGTGTGTTGTATATCTACAGGTGTGTTGTATATCTACAGGTGTGTTGTATATCTACAGGTGTGTAATATGTCTACAGGTGTGTTGTATATCTACAGGTGTGTTGTATATCTACAGGTGTGTTGTATATCTACAGGTGTGTTGTATATCTACAGGTGTGTTGTATATCTACAGGTGTGTTGCGTGTCTAGGGCTCAGGTAACCACAGACAGGTGATCAGACAGGTGGGAGGGATGCAGGGGATCTGGGTCAGTGAGGGAGCAGGTGGGGGAGATAGAGAGAAGCTGGCCTACCCTTCCCAGAGAGGAGGTGGAGGGAGAGGAGGAGGAGGAAGGCTGCAGGAGGCTCTGCTGGGAGGAGGAAGAGGAGGCGTCTTTCTGCAAGAAGGCGCCGGCCGATGCCGAGGTCATGTGATAGACGTGCTCAAAGTTGGAAGGGGGAGAAATGAGGGTGTGACGGGAGGAAGAGGAGGAGGGGGAGGGAGAGGGGGTGGGGTGAAGGCGGTGACATCACCAACCTGAACATCAGGGAGGAGGAGGAGGAGGGGTGAGGAAGGTGAAACAGGGGAGGGAGGAGAAGAGAGGAGGAGTCAGTGTGATGAACCGAGCAGTTTGGGGGGAGGATGGGAAAGGAGGTGGGGGGAGACATGCCGGGGGAGAACATGCAGAGGAGGTGAAGTGAGGAGGAGTTACCAGAGGGAGGTCCATGAGGACCTGCATGCCGTCTCCTGGTCCCATGTGGGCCACGTGGTTAAAGTTTGTAGGATTAGAGATCATCTAGACCTCAGCTCCGGATCCTCAGCATCTCTCTGCACACAGGTCATTCATGACAGGTTAACAACACGGTAATAACACGCTACATATGCTACACTTCAACTACACGATCATAGCATGCTAACTTCATGTTAATAACATGATAATAACATGATAACTACGGTTAATAACATGGCAATAACATGTTAGCTACATATGCTACACTTCAACTACACGATCATAGCATGCTAACTTCATGTTAATAACATGATAATAACATGATAACTACAGTTTAATAACATGGCAATAACACGTTAGCTACATATGCTACACTTCAACTATTTTCAATTCAATTCAATTTATTTTGTATAGCGTCAACTCATAACAAGTGTTATCTCAAGACACTTTACAAAAAGCAGGTAAAAGACCTTACTCATTGTTATGTTACAAAAAGCAGGTAAAAGACCTTACTCATTGATATGTTACAAAAAGCAGGTAAAAGACCTTACTCATTGATATGTTACAAAAAGCAGGTAAAAGACCTTACTTATTGTTATGTTACAAAAAGCAGGTAAAAGACCTTACTCATTGTTATGTTACAAAAAGCAGGTAAAAGACCTTACTCATTGTTATGTTACAAAAAGCAGGTAAAAGACCTTACTCATTGTTATGTTACAAAAAGCAGGTAAAAGACCTTACTCATTGTTATGTTACAAAAAGCAGGTAAAAGACCTTACTCATTGTTATGATACAAAAAGCAGGTAAAAGACCTTACTCATTGTTATGTTACAAAAAGCAGGTAAAAGACCTTACTCATTGTTATGTTACAAAAAGCAGGTAAAAGACCTTACTCATTGTTATGTTACAAAAAGCAGGTAAAAGACCTTACTCATTGTTATGTTACAAAAAGCAGGTAAAAGACCTTACTCTTTGTTATGTTACAAAGACCCGGCCTATCCATCATGAGCACTTTAGCAAAGCAGCAAAAGTTACAGTGGTAAGAAAAAACTTTCTTATTAAAAGGCAGAAATCTTTGCATGAAACTACACAATCATAGCATGCTAACTATGCATGTTAACGTCATGTTAATAACATGGTAATGACACGTTAGCTACAAATGACATACGTGTTAACACTAAAAACAACATGATACCTTCATGTTAATAACATGCTAATAACATGTTAGCTACATATGAAATACGTGTTAATAACACTTAAAACTACATGCTAATAACATGCTAACTACATGTTAACAAGCCCCCAAAAAACATTGTACATTTTAATAACATGCTAACACATTTACTACAGGTAATATATTTAATTTGATGTTAGCAACACGTTAACTAAATACTATGTGACATGTTAAGGACATTATATACACAATTACACTTTGACAAATGAACAACACGTTTTATTCATAAAAATCACCTCCTCTGCTGAATCCGCTCCTCCTCAGGAACCTTAAAGAGGAACTTCCGTTTGCTGCGAGTTCGAACCATCAACTTCCTGCTGTGGTCTGACGTGTCAGGGATGGTGAGGTCTCCCTCTGAGGACAGACAGGTAGAGACAGAGACGGGTAGACAGACAGGTAGAGACAGAGACGGGTAGAGACAGAGACGGGTAGAGACAGAGACGGGTAGACAGACAGGTAGAAACAGAGACGGGTAGAGACAGAGACGGGTAGACAGACAGGTAGAGACAGAGACGGGTAGACAGACAGGTAGACAGACAGGTAGAGACAGAGACGGGTAGACAGACAGGTAGAGACAGAGACAGATAAAGATAGAGACGGGTAGAGACAGAGACAGATAGAGACAGAGACGGGTAGAGACAGAGACAGATAGAGACAGAGACGGGTAGACAGACAGGTAGAGACAGAGACGGGTAGACAGACAGGTAGAGACAGAGACGGGTAGACAGACAGGTAGAGACAGAGACGGGTAGACAGACAGGTAGAGACAGACAGGTTGAGAGAAAGAGAAAGACAGGTTAGATTAGGGGTGGCAGAGAGTAAAGGTAGTGTTACAGTGTACAGGTGAATGTGCTTGGGTCAGGAGTGATTGGAAGTAACTGTGATTGGTGTGATTGTGTCCAGATGTGATTGTGTCCAGGTGTGATTTACCTGATGAGCTGTTGCTGAAGTAAATCAGACGAGGAGGTTCTGAACTCAGCAGGTTTAACGTCCCCTCAACGTTCAGAGGTCTGATCTGAGGACAGAGACACATTCAGCTCATTCTTAACTCTCATTGGCTGTTTGCTGAGCTGTGATTGGAAGGTTCGGAGTAGTACTGAGCTGTGATTGGTTACCTTGCGGAGGGAGATGGTTTGGACCCACTCTGTGGTGTGAATGTCGAAGACATCGACTCCATACTCGCTGTAGACCGTCAGGTGGGAGGAGTTAGAGCCTGGAGAGAGACAGGTGTTTATCTATTACCTGTCAGAATTCATCACTTCCTTTATGACATCATTATCGTCAGCCAATCACAAACTGAAGCTGATTGGCAACCAGGTGCAACTATTTAAATCAAGAACTACACCTGCTGCTTGAAGGACCTGTGTGAAGTCACATGAGAACCAGCTACACCTATCTGCAATGGCTGTCCTAACTTACCTGAGACCCAGATACAGCTGTCCTAACTTACCTGAGACCCAGATACACCTGTCTGAAGTCACCTGAGAACCAGCTACACCTGTCTGAAGTCACCTAAGACCCAGCTACACCTGTCTGAAGTCACCTGAGAACCAGCTACACCTGTCTGAAGTCACCTGAGAACCAGCTACACCTGTCTGAAGTCACCTGAGAACCAGCTACACCTATCTGAAGTCACCTGAGACCCAGATGCACCTATCTGCAACACCTGTCCTAACTTACCTGAGACCCAGATACACCTGTCTGAAGTCACCTGAGACCCAGCTACACCTGTCTGAAGTCACCTGAGACCCAGATTCACCTGAGACGTCACCTGAGACCTAGATACACCTGTCTGAAGTCACCTGAGACCCAGATTCACCTGAGACGTCACCTGAGACCCAGATAAACCTGTCCGAACTTACCTGAGACCCAGATAAACCTGTCCGAACTTACCTGAGACCCAGATTCACCTGAGACGTCACCTGAGACCCAGATACACCTATCTGCTACACCTGTCCTAACTTACCTGAGACCTAGATACACCTGTCTGAAGTCACCTGAGACCCAGATAAACCTGTCTGAAGTCACCTGAGACCCAGATACACCTGTCTGAAGTCACCTGAGACCCAGATACACCTGTCTGAAGTCACCTGAGACCCAGCTACACCTGTCTGAAGTCACCTGAGACCCAGCTACACCTGTCTGAAGTCACCTG